TTGATCAGAGTATCAAACACGGAAAACTGTTTTTGATCTGTTAAATCAAAAAGTCAAAAAGATTCAAAGATCAAAATAAAACAAAAATGCGCATGCTCTGTAGATCATCGATTTATAGCATAGGTCATAAATTGTGATCACTCAATGTACTACTTCGACGATACGGTTGCCGAAAATATATAGAGTTTCGTGCGTTTGTCTTTCTTTTATGGGTAAAATTGATCGGTGTGCCGTCGTAATTCATCTTTTGTTGTATTCTCTTGTGGTGAGCTGTTATGTCATTACTGCAACAAAGGTCTATTTACCCCCTGCACGCCCCATAATGTCTTACGATCCAAGATGGCAGCCGTATCAACGAAGTAGTCCGTACAATACGCCTTTAGTCCTACTGTGATGGAACAACAACTCATTCATGTCATCATGTACGACGAAGTTGCATTTCTCGGATAGTATGATCACTCAATACAATACAGCTTTCTTACAATATGATGGTACAACATTTTATTATTGCCATGTACTACAATATTACACTATGGAAAAATGCCTATACCTGCAGTATGTTCAATACATTAATTTTATATTTATCAATGGGGGAAAGAAAAACTATCTCTGGTCGAGTACAGACAGGAATATTCAAATGATGTACTTTTTACACAAAAGCTTATTAATTACAATTCTTATCACTTACAGTGCAAATCGAAAAACCGTGGGCACCTAGAACTTTCCAACCACAAGATAACGGAAAAATAACAATAACACTTCTGATTGGCTGATTTTAAAACATTCTTGAAATATTTTTAGGTGCACTGTAACTGAAATTGGTTGTCCAACCTTATGCATGTGCAGTCGAAAGGTAACAAATTGAAAACGGACGAGCTTAGGAAATTGTTTTGCACAGAAAATGCACTAGATCCAGGATTTCGGATTTGTGAAGAGCAATTTGTCTCATTTCACACATCCTTTGGTTTCAAATTTGAAGAAGGGGTATTCGTACAGGCATGGCAATGATAGCCATACTTTCATTCATTTTCTTTGATTCTTTGATTCCTTTTTTGAAATTAATGGTGAGTTTTAGTTTATTAACGCGTATTAAAGTATGTAACGTGATTATAAATGGTTTTGAAAAAGATGGTATTGAAAATCTTCGAAATTAACTTGCAAAGTTTTCTTTGCAACATGACCATAAAAATCTTAATTCTTTATTTCATGATGTGAGTCATCAAATCTTGAAAGTTAATGCCAAAGGTGTGTTTTGGCTRATTTTGTTTTAAAATATGACCCTTGACAAGCAAGTTTCTGTAGACTTTCTTCGTCTAATTACAAATCATTCAGTTGTTATTATATAAATTGTTTCTATTAATTAATTAATTCTCTTAATTGTTATTAATTTCTATCTCTATCTACTAAATGTGATTGGGTTAAGGTCGAAATAGACGGCATTAAGTACAAATTCGTATATATAGACACACATGTTTACATCTTCTAAGGAGATGTAGGGTTTTGGATTGTTTGAATTATTTGCTAGTGGCTCCATTTTCCTGTGCGGCTTCGGGGTGATCCTGATGGGCCATGTAAACGTTTGCAGGTTGACAACCACTGAACGAAAATATCTAATAAATAGAAACATAAAAGAAAATAAATACCACATTATTCAGATGACAACAACAATACAATTACTACGAACTCCACCTCCACCTCCACCTTCACCACAACCAGGCCATCATCATCATTACCGACTATTACCTACGTCTCCACTTCCACATTAAGCAGTTCCTCCAGTTAACAATTGCACTGGGTTCATGAGAAGCAGCATTCACTGGCTTACGAGCTGCCAATGACGAGAAAAATACTAATCCTCCACATTCAATAGTTTGCAATTTAAGTCATATTTCAGTTATTGACTTTTGGAAGCATCAGGCATAACAGGACTTAAGGGGACTCCTTTTTAGCTTAAATTTTAGCTTGAACTTCCTTTGAAATAACACCAGTTAGTATGTTGTTAAAAAATAGCACAAAAAATAGCAAGTACGAAACATATTTTCATGAATGCACGCAAGCAATTTGGTTGAACCATTTCTGCCATTTGCAATCCCGTACTATTGAGTTCTAATAATTCTCTCTACTCAATGAAGACAATCAATAATAAGAACATTCTTACTTTATGCTTGTAGAATTTTTCATCAGTTGCGTCTTGTTTTTCCTTCTGCAATCCTGGTGGRATATACTCATCGGTGAATGCAATCTTCACTTCTTGAGCCTCTTGAGTTGCACAATATCCTTTCTCTGCTATAGCATCGATRCGTCTMCATGCGGRAACGTAGTCAGRGTTTGCTTCTYTGKAYTTTTCCATTGCAGACTTCAACGGATAATCTCGCCTATATAAGTATCATAAGTATCAGTAATGCGATGATCATAAAATAATCTTTAACTTTAACAC